AAACAACTTCATCAAAAAAAGTATTATATGAAACAATTTCACAAGATTAAACAATTTCATGAAAAAATTTCATAAGATTAAACAATGAAATCGACAGATGAAGGTGGTTTGCACGGTTTACACAAATGAGGGCGGTTTTCATTTTCTCAATCATAATTTTTCATTTTTTTGTAATTATAAAAGGTTGATTAATCATTTTTATTGTGGAGACTGGAGGGTGTTAATCATGGATATTATCATCTTAATTATATTAATTTTAACAAAATACATGAAACAATTTCATTAAAATTTCATAAGTATTATGTGAAACAATTTCACAACCATATATGAAACAACTTCATCTAGAAAAGTATTATATGAAACAATTTCATAATATTAAACAATTTCATGAAACAAAATCATTAAATTAAACAATAAAATCGACGAATAAGGGTGATTTATACGGTTTATACAAATATATGTAGTTTGCATTTGATCATTCTCTCTCTCTCTCTCTCTATATATATATATATATATATATATGTTTGTGTGTGTGTGTGTGTGTTCATTTTGTGAATAAAAGTAAATACGAGTATTTAAAAGAGCATTTGGTATGTGGGACATGACGAGACAAAACATAACAAAAACTTATGTCCCACTTTCGTTGCGAAATGACTCAATTATCCATGTTAAATTAAAACCCTAGCCTACGTCACTCTTGATGTTATGTTGTATCCCGTTCATTCCAGTTTGCGTACCGAACGCACACAGACGATCAACTATTTATTTGTTCCTTGTGGAACCGGGTTCTTAAGCGAGCCATCTAGCGAGTCACTATGTATCCGCACACAATTTTTTCGTTGGTTATAAACAAAATAAAAGTGTTCATTTTCCTATTAATTTACGAGAAAAAAAATCGTGTTCAAGTTTAAAAACGTTGATCGAGCCAAGAAACGTAAGTGGATTGAGAATCCCGTCATTTACTTGTTCTCTTGATCTCCGAAATAGAAACGGATTCAAAATACCGAACCCTAAATCCATCATTTATAAGATACAAGTACATGAAAAACAAATGAAAAAAAAAACCCGTAGTTTTTATTGTCTTAAACTATTTCATATATCGAATCCCATATCTCATCGGCCACCGCACCTGGTGATGACGTTGCAACCCCGACTATACGGGTTCGCTTTACCTCTACTTTTGCAGTCGTAATACGATTGACCACGTTGGTTGCACGGAACATTGTTCTTCTGCATCGCACCGTAGCTGATGTAGCCTCTTCCAGCTAGCACCCGTCGAACACTTTCCGGCTCCGCCATCATCTCGTCCTTGGGGTCGACAACGAGCCAATCGGGCTCAAACGGCAAGTTCATCGACGAGGCGATCGCAAAAGTCAATACCCAAATGATCAAAAATGCAACACAATTAGCCATTTCAGAAACAATAATAGAAAGAAAAAGAAATGAAGAAAAAGAGTTATGGTGGTTGGGGTTTCCAAAAATAGCAAGTGAGATATTGAGGGAGAAATAACAGAGGTATTATTATGTGGTATAGATTTACTGTACAGTTTCAGTCAAAATAAAAGCATAACATGTGATATGGCTGAAGTAATCAGATCTGTTTTTGACTTTTTCATTAAACATAAAGGCGTCTGAACTAATCAGACCATACTGTTGGGTTGAGGACGAAAGAGTTTAGCGTGTTTGCTGATATTTATTTGGGTTTGGCAAATGGGCATGGGGTGCATGACGCTGTCGGCTGATCATCCTTCATCTGATTTTAGAAAGACGAAAATGGAGATAACAAAAAGATATATTAATTGGTTTTTGGTCTAGCGGTATGTGAGTCTTTAGCCTTCTAAAATGTTAAGTGTTTAAACCTCACCAAATATGAAAAGAGTATGTGAGTTTATTTATTCTATTTGTTCTATATAAATATTATATACTAAAAAAAAAAAGACATCTGAACAATAATCTTACATTTGATTTATGGGTTTGGACTTTGGAATATAAAAAAATAGAAAATTTATTGAGAACATATATTTTTTAATATATCATTTAAATGTTTGCTCTATTATAAAATAATTGCTTGTGTATTAACTTTAATCAAATATATGTATTATATTATAAAATATTTGATAAAAACTCTTAAAAACCACTTTTTATGTATAAATTACTGTTTATTAATGCATATTACTTAAAACTCAAGATTGCAAGTAGATTGTGCGTTAGTACAACTTATTAAAGCTTCATATTTGAATTCGTATAACTAACTGCAGATAAACATAATCAAATATAGGATAAACATCTCATTTTAAATATAAAAAATCTAAAATATAATTAGGATAATCATTGAGTTCTAACATAATACTTAATTATTATCTTTATAAANATGTTATATTATTAAACCAAAAATAAATTATTTCATTATTAAACTTAAATTAAATTATAATAAAAAAATAAATTAAAGAAATTACATAAAAAATTTGAAAACTTTTAAATAGTTGATTTGATATTAACATTGATATATTTTTTTAAATTTTTTTATGGTATCTTCAAATTTATATTTTTTTCAAAAAAATAAAATCATTATTGCTTTCTTAAAAACACATGAAATTGTATCATAACATCGACATAGACAAATAATAAAATAGAACATTAAAATCGAGATGTGTCTCGCTGCATTACGCGAGTACTCTTCTAGTATATATATAAAGTTGGAATAATGTGAGATAAAATTGTTTTCATGAGACCCATCAGATCACTTAAAACTTTAAAAGAAAACACTGTAAAAGTAACATTCACAATTTTTTTATCATATATATATATATATATATATATAATATAGGTGAGTTCAAATGAAAACTCATTTTTAATTGTGAATATGAGTATAAATCTTGGTCATTGGTCAAAATTTAGAAAACTAATCAATAGTTAAATCATGTGATTTTATACATTAATGACATTTTTCTTGCTTTATTAAATAATTAAAGTTATCATTTGGACCTCCCCCTCTCTCTCTCTCTCTCTCTCTCTCTCTCTCTCTCTCTATATATATATATATATATAAATTGATATAAGAAAATAATTTAATGATTAAATTATACAAATTTTATTTGATAATTGAATGTATCGTGTGACATTAAAATGTGTATGATTTTGACGTACAACCATTAAAACTAAATTAGAGGCCATAAAAAATCCCAATATGTTTTCAAACTAGACAAAATAATTTTGTTCTATGTTTTTTATTATATTCTCTAAATTATTATCTGAAAATAGAAAAAAACCAGATAAACTTTAAACTTCAGATAGCTTTAATATATTTTAATAGAAATCTTTAAAATAAAGAATCAGTTGAAGTTGAATGTAATTTTTTTAGTTTTTAATTTTCTTTTATTGAGAAATTATAAAGAATCTGTTATAAATGACCTGAGACAGATGAAAAAACAAGTCAAAAGGAAAATATGTCATATATACATTTTATAATAACGTACTAAACGAATCAAATCTGACTCATTCATGTTGGAGTTTTACCGAAGTAAACCATCAAACCTGTATGCATGTAGGAACTCATGCTTTCTCTAAACGAGCTTTTTTAGAGGAAAAATTTAAAATATTCAGAGACTCAGATACACTCTTTCGGCTCTATCGTAGGGGCATCGCCTGACCTTTGTTTCAGGGGCGTGTTGGATGGAGCCCTACAGTGACTTGACACAGTCCAACTAACTTTTATATACGTTGAAAATGTTCATCATTTTTATATAAAATTACTTTTCAAAGAGAAATTTAAAGGAATTATATATATCTTCGTGTAATATCAGAGTTAGAGTTCACCACATCTAAGAACAATAGTCTCCATTTGAGGGTATGCGTAGAAATTTCACATCAGTTAGACACGACCATAAACCTCTGTGTGTGTGTGTATATATATATGCTATCTAATGGATATAAAACTTTAACAACTAATTATATACTCTTCTTTTTTTCTTCGAAAAGAGAGATTCAAAGAAATTCTATATATATATATATATATATATATATATTCTTAATGATATCATAGTAGACTTTATCACATCTAAAGAATGTCGTCTCTGTTTGAGAGTAAGCGTTGGAATCTCAAATCAGCTAAACATGATCATCATACCTGTATGTATATGTGTGAGTATATATATCCGTGTGTGTGTGAGAGAGAGAGAGAGAGACTCTTATCTAATTGATATAACTTCTAACAATTATATATATATATATAAATAATATATTAAATATGATCTGTAATCGAATAATTATATGCTTGAAATCGACACGAAGTATCGAATTCGAATGGGCAAAAGAGGCATCCCTTTTTGGTTTATCCTTGGAGATGTGGGTGGTGGGCATGAATTTTGACTAATCAAAGATGTAATTTGTGTTGAACATGTGTCTCTTTGCATATATATAATACTTGATCGACTAATTGATTGAGGTTACATGTTATCGTCTTGTTATTAAAAAACCTTAATATTTTATAAAACATGCATCTGATGATCACTGTTTCTTTATTTCAACAAATTATAAAAGAGAAATAAGAAGTCAGTGTTCCAATAAAGCTTGCTTTACGCAAATATAGAAATATCAGTAACTTTTGTCGAACATGTGCACCTTTTAGGTGAATTAAAGGCTCCAAAGTCATCCAATGACTTTTTTTTTTTTTTTTTGATTTTTTTGGTTGATGTTCTTGTATTTTCTAATATCACAAATTATCCCTCTAAGTTTAAGGTTTACACCTTTCATACCCTCCAAAATATTCAACTTGTCTAAATCAGTTCAGTGGACGCACAAGATCCTATTGTAGCTGTTGTAACCTTCATAGGTATGCCCTTTCCCTCTGGAGCTGTCAAAACCCTTATGACCATGAAGGTTTAACTGTAAAATGCAATGACTCCAGGCTATTTATGGTCATCTAAGAAATATCCGGATAAATGCATTTGTAAATGAGAAAATAAAGAGATGGAAAGATGTGACATTTTATTGAAGATGAAGGTATGTATGATGCATACAAATATGGTATTGGAGATTAATCACTCTAAATTATTAACACTCAACTACTTGTATCAATCCAAGAAAAATATTATAATATTACAATCAAATCCTTCAAATTTCTGTTTAAATTCATTAATTAATTGACCATAAAGCAAAGATCATCGTGGCAAGTGAAGCAGCTACGGTACCGGAAAGCGCCACCGGCGATGCCGACGGTGATGGTGGTGGTGGGCTATTCACGTCTGCCGGATTATTACTCCCAGGAGATTCTCCGGTGGCTCCACCGGGAGAAGACGAGCTTCCTCCACCAGGAGAAGTCGCTGGTGGATTCAAAACCGGTGTTCCAGATGGCGTTGACGTCGGTGAACCAGGAGATACGGCGGCCGGAGGTGGCGAACCAGGAGACACAGCCGCTGGAGATGGTGAACCAGGGGATACAGCCGCTGGAGATGGTGAACCAGGAGATATAGCAGCCGGAGATGGTGAAGAAGGTGACGGTGGAACGACTGGAGACACGGCGGGAGCTGGTGGTAGGCTTGACGGAGACGGCGGAGTAGCGGCGGCGGGAGGCGGCGATCGGTTTCTTAAGGCCAAAACCACGACAATCAGCTTCTGATTTTGATCGCAATTCGATTTATTACCAGAAATGAAGTAAAAAGGACCCGATCGATCAAATTTAAACAACGAATCACCACCTTCCATCTTCATGATCGGAGAATTCAAATTGCAAATATCATAATCACCTTTATTCACCACCAATACAGAATCCGACCCACCATTATACTTGAAATCTGCAACAATCAAACACCAACCCAGAAACCCAATTCAAAAACCCAAAAAAAGAATGATAAATCGAAATTGAAATTGAAATTTAGAAATGAAGGAACATACGAAGGGTATCGTTGATTAGAAACCTCAATCTGCCAGACCAATTATTGTAGTTTTCAGAAGGGTTTAAGGTCCAGCCATCTTTACCACCAACTTCGAAGGTTCTAGCGTGGGAAGAAGATATGAAAGTGATGAAGATCGCCATTAAAAACCAGAAAGATTTCTGAAACGCCATGATCGACATGGATTTATTTCGGTTTCAGTTTCAGTTTCAGTTTCAGAGAAAGTTATGAGTCAGAATGGGAGTTTATATGGAGTTCAAGGTTTAGTATTAAAGAGAACAAGAAGATCACTCTGTTTACACGCGGCAAATACACATAAAATCTTAACAATAAAAATACCTTATTAAACCTCATTTAATTGAGTAGTTTGGCAGTTGTTGAATGATTTGCTGTAAAATGATTAAGAAGCTTTTATAATATAGTGCAAAACAAAATATAATTGTTTGATAATTGTTTACAATGAAATCAGAACGCTTAATGGTTAAGGGAGGTTCAAGATACAAAATCATTCGGAGGGTTTTAGTACCATTAAGAAGCAGATTTTTTTTGTCAAACAAGATTCATCTTTTAATGATTCAGATGTTGCCTCTTAATAGAACTATTAAGAGGTAAACAAACAACTCCCTCCTAAGATATATTCCTTGTTCGAGTGAGATTCTCGGTTCAAGTTCTGTAAGATCACCGAGGATTTTCCAGGCTGTTCTGCAAGGCTACTGGGATTAGTCGAGTTACGCATAAAATCCCTGATTGTTTTTAAGGCCTCTGATTAGTCGAAGTATGCATAAGCTGACGCTAATTAAAGAAAAAGATATTTTATTAGTTAAAAGGACTTAAATGGATGCAAATTGGTAGTCCCTGCCGACCACCTAGACTCTACCTCTTTTTGATGGTCTAATAAGTTCTCATAGGGACCGTTTGGTAATAATACATGTAATGGAACATACCAAAAACTTATTTGATACTGATATACGATAAAATAAAACAAAAACTTGTTTGATACTGATATATGGGATATAATAGATAAAAATTTGTTTGTCTTATGTTATAACACAACAATAGACTAAGGGGTTGTTTGTTTACTTCTTAATAGTTCTATTAAGAGGCAACTTTTGAATCGTTAAGAGGTGAATCTTGTTTGACAAAAAAAAAATCCCGTCTCTTAATGGTTCTGAAACCCTCTGAATGATTTTGTATCATAGGTCTCCCTTAACCATTCAACACCCTAATTTCATTATAAACAATTATATTTTATTTTGCACTACATCATGAGAGTCTCTTAATCATTCTAACAACTTAATCATACTGCACCAAATCATTCAACAACTGCCAAACAACCCTTAAGGGGTGGAACAAAAAAGTGGGAGATGATTGCAGGGACAAACCCAAGAATTTTTTTTCATACGGTGACACCATATAAAACAGTTGCACTTTTTACGAACCCAAATTGTTTTAGCTTACGACAAAGGGAAAATACTGTGGCATGTGCCACCACAACCACCCCTAGGTCCGTCCCTAGATATGAGACAAAATTGGTAAATTACTAAACTATCCTTGTCGAATTAAAACCCTAAAACCTTCACAATTCTTTTACCTGTCAACCTCAATCATGTCGTTCTAATCAAATTCCATCCAATATTATCCCGTCTCATTCGTCCGCATACCAAACACACCCATTGTAACCACACCGGACCGGGTGTGGTGGTGGGGTAGTTTTTTTAATTTACCATGTTTGGATAGGGACCTGAAGACAGTGAAAAAGCCACAAGAATCACGAGTTAAAAGGTCTACATGCCATTCACATGAATCATAATGAGTTCATATATTCATCGAGACGTCGAAGAATTCAAAATCTTCTTCGTGTTTTGGTTTGACCCGACATTCGGGGGAACCTGTTAAGCCTTGAGTAGGGTCCCGTGTACCCACTCAACTTATTTTTGTAAGTAGTTGTTTGGGATATGAAAGGTGCACCCGCTAAACTTTGAAGGGTGCTCCCGGATACTAGAAAATCCCTCAAAATCAACCAAAAAACCGAAAAAGTCCCTCGAAATCAACCAAAAAACTGTAAAACATCCCTCCAAATCAACCAAAAGTCTCTCGAAATCAACCGAAACAGTCTCTTGAAATCAATCAAAACACCGAAAAAGTCCTTCGAAATCAACCAAAAAACTTAAAAATCCTTCAAAAAGGTGGAATCCGCCTAAAAACACATCACGTTACTTTGCGGCCTATTGATCCACCTTAAAGTTGCAGCCGCTTAGCAAAAATCTTGGGTCTGCCACTGTTTCCACGTTCTCCAAAATATTTATGGTTCTCATTTGAACTTTCTCCAACCAAATGAACCCGGTATATTCCACTCAAAAGCAGAGTCTGTGAGGTGGGATGCACGTATATATGTCCTCTACCCCAAAAGGGTAAAAGGGCAAAATAGACATTTCAACGAATACCACTCGTTCGTGCAAAAGTGTGAGCGAAAACGGAAGACGAATGTGGCAAATTAAGCAAACCTGATAAGACTCCTTGGATGGAATCAAGAAATATCGAGATGAGCAGCAGCGGTGTCATGGAAGCAAATTGGTGTTTATGATCACAGGACTCATGACCAAACCATAGAGCTAAACCAACGATAAGGGCAAGAACGAGCGAAAGCTTTAGAGTCACACCCATGCATGGCACGTTCGCTCAATCGATGTTTCCAGCTCCGAGCTCGTTTGATACACGCGTGCGGTTAAGTCGATAACGTAGTTAATACGGTTAGAGTTTCGAAGTCGAAATGTTTCTTTTTATTTCGAATGGAGTAAGATCGTTCGATCTAACCTTGCAGCAGCACTTACGCCATACGTAAACATGCATGCGGTTGCTTCTGTCTTTACACCGCAATAAAGAATCAAACCAATAACAAAGACGTCGTTTTCCGACACAAATTGAGTAAACGCTAACCAGATAAAAGTGCAGTCTTGGTAAAAGAGAATTAAAAAGCACGTAAATTTTCCCTATGAGCACCTACAGTCAGATTAGTCCTAAAACTACAATAAAATTGGGTTTACTGAACGTTTAAAATGTCTAAGCATCATAGTAACATATTTTATAGGAGTTAAGTTAAGTGGCCTACAAACTCAATTTTGTTGTAATGTAGGTAAACATGTTGATGTTGATCAAGTCAGCCATGCTGACTGAATCAGCAGTGGGCAAACAACCCCTTAACTCAATAAACCCCCCACATAGGTAGATCGAGCCTCGGGGTAGGACACACACAAACTTTGCTTCTACCCTAAGGGGTAAATAAGTTGTTTCCGTAAAGACTCCCGGCTTGAAAAAAAGCATGTAGGCCAAGGTGAGAATATGTGCAAATAAGTATAGAGTACCATAAACAAAAAATGCGTCAGGGATATCAGATATGAGAGGGAAATAGATTAACCAGACAAGGAAACAGAAAGCATAATACTGACAACTACTGGTACAGAAAGAAAAACTAATATCAACGTACTGCGCACAACAAGATAATCTTACCATCTTGCAATCAGGGCAGTCGTTATTTCTGAATTCGGCAAAATCCCAGCTAGTTACACAAGTAACTCAAAAGCCCAAACATTCTAAACCGTCAGAGATACAAGAACAAAAAATGTCTAACTTTGATTCAGAAAAATGACGGTTCACTGCAACAAAATCGGTTTTATAGGATCGCTTCGAATATCTAAGCATCCTAGTATAATACTTTATAGAGAGCTTAAGTTTATGGGACCAAACCAAAAAACGTCTTATTTAAAAGTATAACAATATGTTTACAATAGGGTCAGTTTCAGGAGACAAACGTAAAAAAAAAAAAAAAAAATTGAAAAACACTTTAGTAACCGTTTATCTGTAAAGTATGCACACGTGCATGCAAGTTATCTGTAAGTAATTTTTCAGTATGCTAATGTGCATAATATGTACGTAGAAACTGGGAAACATCTTTGATTACTTGTATGCACATGTGTATATCGTACATATGAATGGTTATTATGGTGTTACTCAGTTTTTTATTTCAGTCTATATATAACCTCAGTCAGTTAGGATCAGGTTGGTTCACAGGAAAAACGCTAAATAAATGAAAAACCGGAAATCCACGAAAAAACCGGATGAATAAGTGTATCAATATGAATTTCGAATTAACGAAAAAATATAATGTTTTCTTGGTGTAATTTATTTTGCTTAAATTTTGTTTATTTTTCATTTTTTTCAAATAAAAAATAGGAGAGGTGGTGTTTTTTAATTTAAAAAATATTGTTGTAACCGTCAATTTAATCATATGGATTAGATCATCTGATTTAACAATTGATATGTAGTTTTCTAGTTTTTCATTTATTTAGAATTTCGCGCTCAACCTCGTTCTATATATATTGGCTTAATTATTTGAGAACCTTATATATTGTGATAATTTTGAGAACTATTATCGTAAAGTATTGTTTTACATGAACTTTTTCCATCTAGGTTTAGAATTTAATATACTGATCAAATTATATTTGTTTTATATGTATTCAATTTACAATGTAAAAAAAATTTCGTTGTACTTTTTTTCACAAACAGATAAAAAATATTGGACATATAAGGACAAATTGCATGAAAAAGTGACGTACTTTAACTTGATTCTTATTTTGAGTAATATATTTTCAAAACTTCTATTTTCATACATAAAATGTAAAGTTTTAAACATTTAAGTACCTGGGTAACCAGTTGAAGCATTAACCGGTTATCAGGCTGATGTAGCGAGTGATGTGGTATCCAACTCAGTATTATTATTTGTTGGCATGGTTAGTAACATGAATTTTTTTAATCTAAAATTAGTATTCAGTCGGTTACCCGAATACTTAAATATTTAAAACTTTACCTTATGTGCCAAAATAAAAATTTTAAAAGTAAAAGTTTTAAAAGCACCTGTGATAAAATCAAATTAACGTACGTTTCATGCAATTTGCCCAAAATATTTCCAATTTGAATCAATACGTGTGCGTGTGTGTTTGAGAGAGAGAGAGAGAGAGAAAACACGCAACAACTAACCATGAAACAGATGCCGGTGACGGAGGCCGATGAATTTGCGAGGTTAGCGACGGTGAGCTCAACTTCTCCGATGTGGCCCGCGAACATAACCGATACTAATCGTATGCAACATTGGTTAGTATCATAAGGAGAGAAATGTTCTCTGACATACCCTTTCCACCACCACCACCGCCACCATCGTCCGCCTTGGCGATCAATGGAGAAGTGTTTTCCGACATACCCTTTATAGAAAAAGCTTTGATAATTCTCTCACCAGTAAGTCACCACCAATAATCATCCGCCTTGGCGATCAATGGAGTAGACTCGAGCGAAGCTATTCGAGCAAGCATTTTTCCGAGCCAAACATGCCCATATGTTTCATAAATCATACAATAAAAATATAAATATTATCAACGTCAAGCCTATAAACGAGTTAATCGATCATGAGTTCGAGCCCAAAAACAGGCATGTGATAATATACGTGAGGGGAGCTCGTGGTTTGCAGACAACTATCTTGCGAAGGTCATGATAGAGGTCGTCTTCATATCTAATTTATTATCACATGTGATTATACACACCTGTGACTTTCCCGCAAAGCTGCGAACAAAGTGCTCCCATAGATTCAGTATATCATCCGTCATTTAAAGGAACCCAAAAAACAAGCATTGGGTTCCTTTAAATCTCTTGTCACTTCCCTTAAGAGATAGGTAGACCCGCAAAACAAGGGTAAAGGGTAGTTTTGTAATTTATCAACAGATGAACGTGGATGCTGGTACTCAAGCGAACCTGCATAGAAAGATAAACAGGGAAAAGAAAAAGAATACAATAGCATACACAAGAATCATAAGTTAAAGGGGTTACATGCCATTCACATGTAACATAATGAGTTCAATAATTCAAAATCTCAGTCGAGTTCTTCGTTTGACCCGACGTTTGGTCAAACAAGAACCGTGTCGGCAAAACAGTTGCTTCAGTCGAGTTCCACTTGCGTCCATTTCTTGAGATACATGAGTAGTAGCAGACCACCGGTCTGACTGGCCAGACCGCATATTAAGCCAATCCACAACCCCTGCATATTATACGCTCGGGATTTAGTGTTAGTGACGAATATGGTTAAGAAAGACGTTGGATTCTTGTATATTTTGCAATAAAAGTGTCACCTTCGCATATAGTTTCACGAGAAACGCGAGGACAACTGCAATCGGCATGCCGATAAGATAAAACATTCCTAAGTTGATGAACACAGCCAGATGTTGCCAACCGCACCCCCTCGCCACCCCTGCAAAATTATATGCTATTCATTCTGCATCTTGAGTAAACCAAACCAAATGAAGAGCAGGTTCAAATCAAAACCGTAAATATTTTGAGAACTCGAGAGACCAATTATTTATGATGAATGTCGTGATAGATATTCAAAATTAAAAGACATGATATTCATGATGAAAATGCATTACATTCATGAATATTTAGGGCTATATACACTACAACAAAATTGGGTTTATAGGACGCTTAAAATTTTAAGCGTTCTAATAGCATATCTAGTAGGACTTAAGTTTACAGGACTATATTATAAAGTGTTCTATCTAAAAGTATTAAAATAGGTTTATAGGACATTTTTAGGCGTTTTAACAAGTTTTATAGGACGTTTATAAAATAAAGTGTTCTATTAGCTAGTTTATATGACACTTTAGAGAAATGTCCTATAAAACGATCTTCTTATAGGACGTTTGTGTTTATAGGACACTTTTTCCAATAATGTCGTATATAATAGCTAAATAGGACATTTTATTTTAAAAGCGTCCTAAAAAACTTGTTAACACGTCTACAAACGTCATATCAACCTACTATAACACTTTTAGATATGACAATTTATAGTTAAGTCCAATTAAGTATGCTATTAAAACGTTTAGAAATTTTAAGAGTCTATAAACCCAATTTTGTTACAGTGACATGAAATAGTTGGTTCTCATGTTCTCAAAATACCTATGGTTCTCATTTGAATTTTACGCTACCAAATCAACCCAGTATATTCCACTCAAAGGCAGAGTCTGAGTGGTGGGATGTACGTAGACATGTCATCCACCCCAAAAGGGTAAAATAGTTGTTTTAGTGAGTACGACTCGTTTGTGAAAAGTGTGAGCGAAAAGGAAAGAAGAATGTAGCAATTTTAGCAAACCTGATAAGACTCCTTGGATGGAATCAAGAATGATTGAGATGACCAACAGGGGTGTCATGGAAGCATAGTGGTTTATGATCACAGGACTGCTACTAAAGAAACCAGCCCAGATATCATGACCAAACCCTAGAGCTAAAACGACGATAAGGGCAAGAAGGACCGAAAGCTTTAGAGTCACACCCATGGCGTTCTTAGCTTTATCGATATTCCTAGCTCCCAGCTCGTTTGATACACGCGTGCTGTTAAGTCCAAAACGCCATTAATACGGTTGAATTTTGAAGTCGAAATGTTTCTCTTTATTTTGGAATGAAGTAAGATCATTCCATCTAACCTTGCAGCAGCACTGAGGCCATATGTAAGCATGTATGCAATTGCTTCTGTATTTACACTGCAATAAAGAAATTGCTTCTGTATTTACACTGCAATAAAGAAATTGCTTCTGTATTTAAATAGCAATAAAGAACCAAACCGTAACTAAGTGAGTAAGACACTGTTTGGTTGGTTCTCCATTAAGTCCCATAAGCTGATTGTGTGGACTAATATATCCGCATAGATTGGGGGAAAGAAGCGTGCTTTTTTATTGGGAGGGGCATGTTTGGAAAAAACTTGACTTTCTGCATAAAACTCTCTTCGGAAGTTTACTGAATCAGCCACTTTCTATATCATTAAACCGCTACAAAATAGTCATATATAGCTGAATGAACAAGTTGCGAGTCTCATTAAGCTCATTAAGTTAACAAGCAGACCCTAATTAAGGGGCTGTCTGGTTGGTATTCTATTAAATTCTGTATGGATAAAATTGTCTGTGAGGATTAATTTCTCTTTATAGATTGGGAAGGTTTTTGTTTGGGATGGTTTTTTCATAGAGAGATGGAACATGTTTTTTAATTTGAAGGGGCAGGCTTGGCAAAAACTTGGCTTTTTGCCATAAGGCTCCCCCTAGAATTATTGAATAAGCCAATTTCTATATCATCAAGTCACTAACCAAAAGTCATGTATAGTTGAATGAATAAGCCAAGTCCCATTAAGCTGTTAACAAATAGGTTCCGAAGTCCCACATAGAGGTAGTCTTTTTTTGGAGGGAGGATATACACGGACCTTGCCTCTACCGGTGTAGAACAAGATATTCTTACCACATTGCAATCAGGGAAGTCGTTATTTCTGAATTTGGCATAATCCCAGCCAGTAACACAAGTAACTCGAAAGCCCAATACTCTAAGCTGCCAAAAATCCAAAAACAAAAAAACCGATGTCAACTTTGATTCAAAATGAATGACGGGTATTCATAGTTTTCTACTAAACTATGCACTCGTGTTCTAAAAACTTCAAAAGATCAAGAAAAACAGACCAAACCATAGCAGCAGATGGAAGAGCCAGCTTCAAGGTAGCGAAAACATGACGGAATGACTCCATGGAAAAACCATGCCATGTTTCCTTAAACTTTTTGTCAAAAAGCACGTACAACGCCAGCATAATTGCAGAGATCCACAATGAAATCGAAGCGGCCAAAGGAGCACCTACGAAACCTAGTGAAGTCCGTTGTACAAGTACATAGGCAATGCCGAAATGGAGGATAAGTGGGGCCACCGAACACAGTACTAAAGGGGCAACAACGGATTGTGTTTGGAGAAACCTCAACATGTTATTTAGAAGCCCGTAAGCAAATAGTCCGGGGATAAGATACTTAATGTAGAGAGCGGCCAGTTTTGCGATTTGAGGATCTTGGTGAAGCAAAATAAGGATGGGTTCGGTAAAGAACCAGATAACGGAGATGAGGATGGAGAAGGATATGGAAATCCAACAGGATGCTTGTAAATATATTCCTAACATTCTGTAAAGCTTTGCTCCAAATCCTTGCCCACATAATGTCTCCAATGCACCACTTAGCCCAACCTAATCAATCAAACAATAATGAACAGTACATGGTTACTCATCTTGGACTCGAATTACATGAGAATGATCAACTACTCAAACCATCATTCCTTCCAAAGCTAAACAAACGCACCCAATGTGTCCGACTTGAAAGTAGGGTCTGGGATGTGGGATGCATGCAGACCTATCCTCTAAGCTGAAGAGTAGAGTAGTTGTTTCTGTGAAAGGTTATGGCTTTTGAAAGAGTGTTTGCAAAAGGATACACAAGAAATAATGGTAAAGAACCATCATTCCTTCCAAAATACAAAAAAATGTACACTTGTTTATGTCAGAATAAGATTAAATGATACATTAAGAATGTAAAAAGTAAGTACTAATGTTGATGTTGATGTGTAGGAAAAGAAAATTAGCAATTGAAGATGCATTTAAAACATCAACAATAGAGGTTCGTATAAGAACCTCATTATTCTACTTATTTATGTTACATTAATGTTATCTAAAAAAAATGCACAATAAAAGTTATTAACAAGAAACTCATTATTCCTTATTTTATTAAAAAATAATCAGATAAGTTTTATTTGTTTATTATTTACTTATATGTATATAAACTAAAAGTATTATAACAGTTTTCAAATATAATCATTAATTTACACTTTTTCATAATAATTTTTTTATTCTTAATTTATATATTTCAATAATATACTTAACGATAAAACATAAACATACATTTATAATACAATAAAAAAAGTGTAATATTACAAAGATATTTTTAATAAAACCTAACACACACACACACACACACACATATATATATATATATATAAAATAATGAAATAAAAATGGAAGCAGTTAGGACCTTGTTATTAAGCAGCTATGACCTCAATAGTATACTATTTTAAGCACCTTTATTATGGTTGCTTTAATAGAATATAGCCATGGATTTAGACTTCCACCTTTTTCTTTCTTTTTTTGAGCCCTGATGTCGTCTTTCTTTTAGCCATTTTCAGAGCAGTACGTGTTTTGTAAAGAGTAATCTTTCAGTCTCCATAACCAAAATCTTATCCCATTTTCGTCGTTAACAGATGATGGAAAGATAAACATTAATGGGGTGTGCAAATAGACAAATAGGCAGATGCCATTGTTGAATAACAGCAGTCAAGAATGGAAATCCCATGTCTCCCACATAAAAACTATGAAATACAGACAATTAGTAGAGCAATCAGTAATTAGCACCATCTTATTGAAGAATCAATCGTTTCTTCACATGATTTGGATCTCCAATTTGCAGAATCGCATTTTACAAGTTATCTATTAGATAGAAAACACAATTTCAGTGGCTCCCCTTAATCATTTATGTTCCAAATCATACCATCGACTCGTTCCAAATTTCACGAATTAGGAGAGTAAATTACTAAATTTCGATCAAATCGTAGTCATTTGCAGTGAAAACTAACATATAGCTGAATTATTTGTGGATGAATCCCATCCATCCATAAGTACCGACAAAAGGGGATCTAAGTGATTCCGACGATAAAACCAGCATATGTGTTTGTGCGTTATAGAGAGAAATCAAGCAATAACTAACCATGAATGATAAACCGGTGACGGTGGCCCATGAATTGGCAAGGTTAGAGGCGGCGAGCTCAACTTCTCCGAGATGGCCGGCGAACATAACCGATACTAATGGTATACAATAGTATGCGACGTTGGTTAGTATCATAGGGAGGGAAAACAAGATTTGATCCTTAGCTTCATCCCAATCCAACACCTTCTTCCACCAACTACCATCTCCTCCGCCGCCCTCCGCCTTGGTAATCAATGGAAGTGTGTTCTCCGACGACATACCGCCTATAGATTAAGCTTTGATAGTGAAGAGGCAATTGGTATACGCATCACGCTCTCACCACCTATATACCCGTTGTAGCTACCTGAGACGGTATGTATATATCCCAAAATCTTATGTCCCGCCAATAAAAGTAGAACACGTTTTTTGTATGATTTTTTATTTTCTTATATATATATATATATATTATAATATTAAATAGAGACGAGTTATTATGCAACTCTTTACATTTGTACAACCAATACAACTCAATTTCAACCGTTCATTTAATTTGATAAATATATAATTTCATAAAAAATTTGATTGTTTTCTAATATAAAGTATTGATCATAATTAATCAACTCTAGTCATCTTTCATAAATATTCAAATCATAATAAATGAACTCTCATCATTTCTATAAATATCTCAATTAATTGGGTTGCATTGGTTGTATAAATAGACATGGTTGCATTTGAAATATATTCATATTATATATATATATATATATATATATATATATATAATATAGTTGATTTTCCATTAAGTCATGCATGTATAAAACTCTTTGTATAGATTGAAAAAGCTTTTGTTTGGAAGTACTTTTTTAATAGATGAAATGAACATGTTTTTTTAATTGGGAAGGGTAGCGAAGAAAAAACCATACGGCAGAACAAGTATGGGAAGCTTATTTGACAAGACATTTTCTATATTATTAACCACTACCAAACAGTCATATATATAACTCACAGAATAAGTTACGAGTACTATTAAGCTCATTAAACTACTAACAAACATATCCTAAACTATGTTCTACAAACCAGTAGATAAGCTAGATGTTAACTGATAAACTAAACATGTTTAACAAAAACTAGCTGATAAACTATTTGAAAATTCTGAAATGACTAAAAACAATATGTTAAAAACTAGTTAATTCTAATATTTTATCATTAATAATATAATATGTTAATTAATACAAACTACTTGTAAAAAATTGAATAATAAAATATGTTAATTAATGAAATTTGAATTTAATTATTTTATAGGGCCAAGCATACCAAAAAACAACCTATTTTCATAAAAGAAATTATTTATAACATTGTACTTTCTAGAATTTTACATATTATAGCAAAAAGTAACCTTTTGATTTGAATTAAGATGATATGACACATGTTACCAGGTTTCTATATCATGTGATTATCTACATAGGATGTCCACATGTAATGTATTGTTAATATGTCACTCCTTATTACAACATTGTATCATTGTACTTTCAAAATTTTGAATTTATATATTATTGATAAATATATTAAATTAGTTAAAAAAATTTAAAATTATTTATTAATATAATAATATTAATATGACATGTAGAGCACAATTTAAATTGCTAACATTTCTCTAAAAATGTAAAAAAAATATTTTTTTGAATAAAGAAAATAATTAAAAAGTGTCAAGGTTTTCTTACAAACAAAAATATTTATAATATATATATATATATATATATACTATTTCATTAATATATTAGATTAATGGGGTGTTTGGGATTGCTTATTTGAAACAACGTATCCTTTTTTACAAAAATACTTATCAACTTATTATAAGTCAGAAGAGTTTAACTTATTCAAAAACTTCTTATTACCGGTTTGGCACCGGTATAAGTTGTTTATCTAAACACTTAAAAGTGTCTATTACCGGTGTCACAACGAAATAAGTCAATAAGTTGTTTTTATAAGCAATCTCAAACACCTCCTAAGTAAAATAATTCTAAAGTATTTATTAATGTAACAATATTAAGAAGACTTGTAAAACACAATCTGGATGACATTTTAGAAAGATGTCAAAAACATGTTTTGACCTCTTTTTTGTGAAAAAAAAAAGTATTATGTTCTTTTATATCACATAATTATAATGATGTGTCATCCATATCATCTCGTTTAAGTCATGTAAGCAAAAAAAGTTAAAGGATTGACCGATTTAAAAGGTAACAAGTTACTCATTGCTATAATGGGAAAGTTTGTTAGAACACTATGCCTTAATAAAAGTATGTTGCTTAATACAAATATGAAACAACTTCATCAAAAAAGTATTATGGAAAACAATTTCACAAGATTAAACAATTTCATGAAAAATTTTCATAAGATTAAACAATGAAATCGATGGATGAATGTTAAAAATTTATCCAATTTAAAATGATAATTATCTTACTTTTAAAAACTATTTTCTATGTTTTGTTTATAGTATTTTTAAATTAATGGATTATGTCGGTTATATTGCTTATCATTTTCTCATAAATTGACTGTCTTTTCATTTGAACCTAACCCTACATATAGGGGAGTGATCACATGTAAACCAAATCATTTATACAAACCGTGCAAACCTCGTTCAATTAATCATAATTTTTTTCACTTTTTTTTAATTATGAAAGTTGATTTTCATTTTTTTATTGTAGATGGCGTTAATTTGGACGTTATCTTCATGACTCAATATTGCATCCATATCTCCTCCATGACTCAATTAAACTTGCACTCTTCGTCTTTTCCTCATCCTTCAAGGTCGTCTCCTCATCGCCACCACCATCCTCACGGCTGGCATCGAATGTGATGACGATTCAGATCGACGACCATACTGCAAAGACCCTATCTGGTTCCTGCCGCAACAGTTGAAGGAGTCTCTAGTGAGAAATCGCCAGCTTCCTCCATCGAAAAGAAAGAAGCTGACTTCAGAGAAACAAAGTTGAAAACTCAAGATCCAGGGTTTCAATTTTTACATCTGAAGTTAGGATTAAGTTTGTTATGAGTTGTACCGACTTTCTTACTCTCTTCTTCATGTTTCCCACCGTTTCAGTTATCAGTTTCATGCTTTTACTGGTTGCTGGATGTTCATTCGGTTTCATATAAAAAATTAAAAAGTTGATGTGTTGTTTCATAAGTGAAATAATACTGGTATGAAACTAGGGTAAGAAAAACTGTTATTGTTTCATATGAGACACAGTAATTTCTTTTGTTTCATATAAGAACAAAATGGTTGAAAAAAGGTGAGGAGTCGGCTAACCGAATAAGGTATTTAAAGAAATAATATTTAGAAGATAAATCTGGTTTATTTGATATTATATGAGATATTTAAGAAAGTTAATTATTCCTAAAAATACGAACTTGATAAACAGACCTAAATATCATTGACTGTAAGGTTTGTACCCTTCAAATGGTTTATATTTTAAAATCTCGATTTTAAAGAATCTCTTAAAGATACTGTTAAATTACAAATGCCTACGTCCATTTATTTTTGTTGATTTTATCTGTTATCTTAGAGTTCATTTATTAAAAAAAATATTTATTAACTCAGAACTCTAAAATAAACGTGTACAACATGTGTTAGAACAGACACGATCTTTTCCGCATTTTGTTTTGATTTTTATCAGTTTAGGTGTGTCATGGACCATTTGTGTATCGATATCTTGATGATTTTATAACAAATTGTATTTTGTCATTTTGTGAAGAGTGGTAGGTGACAATTTTAGAGAAAGAAAGCTAAATCTGATATCAGATCTCACTAAATAACGTTCATTTTCCTGTTAAACTATTCAATAAGAAAAGGGACACTAAAGGGTTGTTTGTTTACCTCTTAATAGTTTTATTAAGATGCAGCCTCTGAATCGTTAAAAGATGAATCTTGTTTGACAAAAAAAAGACTGTCTCTTAATGGTTCTAAAACCTTCTGAATGATTTTGTATCATGAGTGTCCGTTAACCATTCAGCGCCCTAATTCCATTGTAAACAATTACCGAACAATTATATTTCATTTTGCACTATATCATGAGAGTCTTTTAATCATTCTGACCACTTAATCATTTTGCACCAAACCATTCAACAACTGGCAAATAACCCTTAATTCGGTGACATTTGGTTTTAGGCTTGAACCCCTTCCTCCGACACCTCCACCATATAACGACGTAGAATAGGAGCACAAAACACGTATTCATGTGTTCTCGAATTTCAGAACGAAAGAAAAGAAAATAAATGGGAAAAAAATTTATTTTTACGTTTTTGAGAGTGAACGAAAAGAAAGGAAATGGAATGAAAGAGATCTAATTTTAAGTTATTGAGTGGAGAGAAAGGAAAGAAAAAATGTCGTTTTTACAAGTACACATTTATTACTAGTTTTGCCATATCTATCGATATACATTATTATAGTCCAGACTTTTTGTTAACTATAAAAGATTTTGTTAATCATATCAAAATTGGCATTCATATATTTTACTATGGAATGTAATTTTTTTTGTAAGGGTGTCCGGGCCAAAGCCCGACTAATCCCCGGCAAATTTGGAGGCTAAACTTGGCCCCACTTAAATGTCGCCAACACTCCCCTCCCAGGGCTCGAACTCGGGTTCATGACTATGTCATGCCCAAGCCTTTACCACTAGGCTGGAAAGTTTTTGACCTGTGGAATGTAATTGATGGATATATGTGTGTAATTTTTATAAATATTTTTAATTTTTATAAATCCTTTCGTTTCCTCTCACATTTAAGAGGAAAATCAACGTTACTTTTGTTTACTTTCCCTCGTTACAAAAACCTCGAGAACCCACGACTTTTTCGTTCTCTCGAGTCAAGAACACAACAGTGGTGTATACACATGCTTTTGAGAAAAAGACAGTTTTGTAGGCAAATCTATTTTTCGTTAATTCTTTCGATAGATATATGAAAAGCAAAAACCATGTGATTTCGTTATTTTAACGGAATCGTAAAAAAAACAACTACTGAATCGGGGGAAAGATATTCGAAGTAATATTCTAGGGCTCTAAATAAAGGATTTTTGGATCGAATAAGAACCGATCAAAGGACCCGATAAATCTCGAGAAAAACTCAGTTAGATTTTTCTACTTATAAGAATAGTGAGAGGGTTAAAAGATAAATATCATGAGAAAGTAATACGAGAAGGTTAAGGGAAAAATCCTATGTGAACCTTCATTTATTACATTCTCATGATATTTAACTTTCTTTCTTATTTGAACCAAGTAATATATATATATATATATATATATATATATAT